GTCTTGCAGCCGAACTGACCATACCGCAACACAATCCCACGGTCATACACTGTGATAATACCTCCGCCATCGCCATTGCAAAGAACCCGGTCTTCCACGCCAGAACAAAGCATATCGAGATTGACTACCATTTCATACGAGAACACATTGGCTCCGGATCAATTCAGCTCACTCACATTTCCTCCAAAGATCAAATCGCAGATATTCTGACCAAACATCTACCACCGGCCCGATTTAATGACCTTCAAAGCAAATTAACCATTCGACCCTCGAATGCTTAATTTGCGGGAGGCTATTAGCATAATTAATACACTTGTAATTACTGTATTACTGTTATGCCATTGGCTCTGTATTAAATACTTCCTCTGTATCACCGTTTAGTTCGAATACAATAATTTCCCTTTTACCGTTTCTCTTCCCGTCACTCTCTGTGCGTTCCCTCCTCAGCATTTCTCTCACTTATAAGGTTGATTTATAATGTCAACGCATGTCATTATTTATAAAGTTGATGCACACAAGCTACTGCCTGCTGACTTTAACACCTGTCATCTCTTATAACGCCAATACGTAACATCATCACTAATAAGGTTAATGCACATTGTCAATTTTAACTCTAATTTTCGACATCACTTCAAGATTATACCGGAATTCTTGGTTTCTAATCTTCTCTCCTAAAAAAAAAAAGACTAATTAAAAATACCACAACCAGTCACTTGAAGACAACTCAAACGACTCAAGGCTCTTCAAAATTTCACTATAAAATTTATCCTTAAAAGTTCGTGTGTGCTATATTTTGACTATATTATGAAAATAATCTCACTTCGAGTTTCCGTATAAAAAATTTAGTGCTCGTGAAACTTGTTTTTAATTTTTGTGTAATGGATCACCATACAAAATTAAAAAGTTAAATCTCACTTTATCCATTGCACAAATATTGAGCTCTCAAGTTTTATATGAGGAGAGGAGTCTGTAACAATTGTAGTCCAAACCCATCATATCCTCCTATGTCAATCTTAATTCTTAAAGCTCCTACATTGCCAATGTTCATGTGACACCCCTTCAAGCCCTCCAACAATGATTTTTTCAAGTTGTTTTTGTTACTTTGATGTCTATAGGAAGAAGAAATCTTGTATTTTTATACTATCAATAGTAAAAACTTAACCATTCCATCAAGCCCCTTTAGTCTCCTCCTTCTTCTTTCCTTGAGAATTTCTTAAATTTTTATTACTTTTTAAAATAATTTTTTAATATAAAAATTTAATTTTTTATTAAAAATTTACTTTAAGAAATAAAAAAAATTCGGCCCAAACTAAGCCGAAATCTACCATAGACAATACGATCTCTGACCAGCTCCGCCGAAGAAAACACGCACATCTAAGCAGCTGGCCACCGTTAAAAGACTCCATCGGTCAAAGTACGTGGGCAGTTAGGTTATTCTTCGCTCAGCAACCTAACACAGCTCGCTTGATTTCACATTGACGAAGCCTCCCAATACCAATTGAACAACCCATTTTGCACATAAACCCACCAACAAAACCCTTTTGGCACTCCTCACGATCATAAGGTTATGTAAACAAATATATGCTTTAACGTGGAGCTATCTGCAAATTATTAATTGAAGGTAATGTTTGGCTCGCCGTCTATAAATAGTACAGCTTGAGACCCTTCTTCCCATAGCCGAGAAAACAAGGAGAAGCTTGCGAGTACTCTTGTAGGGCAAAGAAACGGCAAAGTGAGATATAGAAGAAGAGATGGCCGGAGGAGGTTTGGGAAGATGGCAGGCGGTGGCGATGGCCGTCGTCGCTAGCTTTGCGGTTGTTTTTCCGATGATCTGTGCTGCCACGAGTCATACAGTCGGAGGCTCGACTGGGTGGACCATCCCGCCAAACTCCAGTTTTTATCCAAATTGGGCATCCCAGAACAAATTGGCCGTTGGAGACACTCTCGGTAACTAAATTTGAATCATTTGTACATATTATTTTTATATTCCTAACGAAAAATCCTCTGTTTTTTACCAATTCTGATGAATTTGTTCTTCTGTCGGCAGTGTTCAACTTTCCGACGGGCGCTCACACGGTGGTGGAGGTGCCGAAATCGAGCTACGACGCATGCTCCACCAAAAACCAGGTGGGCGCGACGCTATCCACCGGCCCCGCCACCGTCACCATCAACTCCGCCGGCAAGCACTACTACATCTGCAGCGTCACCGGCCACTGCGCCTTGAACCAAAAGCTCGCCATCACCGTCTCCGGTGGCTCTCCGACAACGCCCTCCATCCCGCCGGTGGCCAGTAACTCGCCGGGAGACGCATCGAGCCCCACGCCTCTGCCGACGGCAGGGGGGCCATCAGGAAGCTCCTCTGGTGGCGGCAGCTCAGCGGCTCTGCCGGCCTCGATGGTGGGAATTCCGGCGGCAGCGGCTGCCGGACTTCTTCTGGCGGCTGCCCTTTGGTAGATGAAGTGAAGAGTTTGGTACTTTTTTGTGCTTGTTTTATGTAGTTGATACAGTGATTTGATTTTCCTTTGGTCATAGATTGAGATTTGAATTTCTCCTTCAGTGTATTCTATTATTTGCTTCTTGTAATAAGAGGAGATATAGTGGTGATTGACATTTATTTATTGGCAAATAAATTTCTGAATTTTTAAATATTTTGTTAAAAAATTGTATTGGTGAAAATTACATATATAACATATATAAAAACTTTAACTATTTATTAAACTACCTTTTATATTTTTTTAATTATTAAAATAATGTATTTACTCATCCTACAAACAAATCATTAATAATGTGATAAAATTGAAAAATTACAAAATCAGAATTTTATTGTGAATTTTAATATTTGATGATCAATTTTAAAATAGAGGTAGGAGAATAATAATTGTATATGTAATTATTCAATATTTGAGTATTTTATATTTAATTGTTTTTTTTATATAAGTACATTAATTTTATAGGCAACTAATATTTAAAAAAACTCTATTAAAATATCTAAATAACTTTTTATTAGGATAGAGCTATTTATATTATAGATATTTTTTATTTCTCACATATTATATTTTAATATAATTAAATTATTGGCTTGCATAAATATAATTAAGATAAATGAATAATTAGTTGGGTTTATTTTTCAAATTTAATTATATTATGAGAGTTAGTGATACATGGTAGAATTAAATATATGAATCATAAAAATAATAAATATACCAAAATACTCAGATATATTTTTCTATTAAAATTAAATTTTTAATTAAATTGTGTAATACAATTTTTTTCCTTTATTAACATTTTGGTTGCTTTCTGAGATTGTTATGTGGCATGTGCTAATAAAAGTCCACTAAGTTTAAGAGAATTGGGGGTCCCTTATTTGAACTTGAAGCCTTAGTAGTCTTGGAAATGAAATTCTAGAATTTCAATTTTCCATGCGTTAAAATAATTGTGGAGGAGAAATTGGTGTGGAAGAAGATAAGATTGAAGATTTAATAAGATTGAAGAGTTGGGGGCATCTTATATTAATGTAGCTCATCATGATCTGTTGGTTGGGAGTTTTGACAATCAATAAAGAGGTCTTGAATTTGAAGCTTGTGTGTGTGAGTTTGTATTTCAAGGATCTATTTGGACAAGTTTTTATTATTTAAATTTTATATCGTAATCAGAGCCGGAACCCCCTTTATGTCGGGGGGAAATTGCCCCCTAAAAAAATAAAAAATAAATAATTTTTGTTATATTATTCTTTAGATAATTTTTTTCCCTTCATCCCCCCCCACCCGCTAAAAAGTTTTAAAATACTATAGTTTTTAGGCAATTGCCCCCATCAAATAGTAAATATAATTCATCATTTTATAAATTAATTTGAATTTCAAAAATATCCTTACATGGGGGCTCTGCCCTCTTGGATTGCTGATATATCTGGGAAGCGTATGATGATCAAGGATATGAACAAATATGAGTCGCTATTCACACATTTTCTTGTAGTGAAGGTCAAGCCAAATTCAAGGCAACACTAACAGTTATTTATAAGTTTACCCCCTGAAAATTAAGACTGGTTCCGCCCTTGATTGTAACCATAGTTTTATATAACCTCATTTAGGACAACTTTCTAATTTTTTTTCTTTTTAGACCACAATTATAGTTCATCTTAGACCTTTTTTTTTTTTTTTTTTTGCTTTCAAGAAATTTTTAGATGAAAAGTTATTTTTATATTAAAAATTTTTTGTACTAAAAATTTGTTTTAGAAAGTATTAAGACAGTAATCTCAAACAAAGCCTAACTTTCAAAAATTACTTTCCCCACAATAATTTTATAATCAATTTTTCAAAAAAAGTTGTAGTCGTCTAAAGAGTAACGAATCCTTTGCCTATAAAGCTTTCATTGTTTTTAAAAAATTTATGTATTAAGACAATTTTATTTAGATCAGCTTTTAAAATTATACTTTTTCCATAATAATTATATAATCATTATTATAAAAATGGTAGATGTTGTAAACAAATCCTAATTAGATATCACATCCCTTAAATTTTCTCGTAAGCTATGAGAGTAAAGTTAAATATTTTTTGAATCCTCGCACGCGGTAATAAAATTGATTAATTTGGCTAACCGCATACGGCCACCAAATTGCTCGTCAGTTGCTTTGACTTTTGTCCCCCTCTTTTTTTTTTTTTTTTCTTTCCAAAGCTTTTAAAGAATAATTAACGGCTTTATATTGCGCAAGGAATAAATCATATAAAATAAAATAATTTTATTACTTTTTGCAATCTATTTTTTATATTTATTAAATATTTAATAAATAAATAAATTATTTTTTAAATACTCAGAATAAGTTTTTTATATTTTAAGTATTTTTAAAAATAATATTTGTTGCCAATGGTTCCTTCTTTGACGTGGAAGCCCCGTTACCAAAATATTGTTCTATAGCTAAAAAATTCAACTTAAGCATAAAATAAAAACAGAGGAGCAAATTAGTCTGAAAGAATATCAGACTGAAGATTTAATATTATTATTTCAGACTTCGTTTGAGATGATTTTTTTAATGCTTTATAAAGTAACTTTTTAGTATACTAAAAAGCTGGTTTAAAAAATAAAAAAAAGTTATCTCAAACGAAAACTTGATCTATCAGTTGTAGGCTTCATTTGGAACGACATTTTTACTGCTTTTTAAAATAGCTTTCTAACAAGCTGCTTCAAGAAGCAATAAAAAAACCGTCTCAAACGAAGCTGCAATCCACCGCCTAAAGAAAATTAAGAGTCTAAGAGTCTGAATGAGATTATTGTAATTTTTAATAAAAATGGTTTTAAAATAGTCATGAGAAAGAAACTTTTTTAAAAGTCTGTAAAAAACAGCTTTTTAGTGCATAATTTTTTAAAATGAGTGAAAAAATAGTAGCAAAAAAGAAATTATAGTTGCAGTATGAAAAAAACAAATAAGAAAGTTGTCTTAAACAAAGCTTATGATTTTATTTGGGACAACTTTCTTACTGTTTTTTAAAGCCAATTTTTAATAAAAATTAAAAAAAAAAGTCTTCAAAAACTAAGTAGCCTTACCTCAACCAAACATTCAAAAAACAAAGAAATATTTCCTTTAAGTAAATAATTGAATAGAAATAGAAACAAAGGCCTAACTCATCAATGACTCTGCTTAAAATAATGTGAGATGAAAGACTTCAATGCCTCTACAAAGCTTTATAATTAATAGAGTTGGTAGAGATTGGAACTTGTCCGAAGACGTAGGCGTTTGTCACTATGATAAGGAGATATAGTTAATAGTTAATTTGCCAATGCTAACCCCATTTTGCGACCGTTGTCTTAACCGCGAAATTGCTCGTGGAAGAGTAAAATATTTGGCAGACACAGATGGCTCGATGTTTTGTGTGAGATAAATTTCTAAAAATACTTTGAAGTCCCTCATGATATTTGTTTTAAATATGTTTTAATGATTCTTTTGATTGAATATGCATAGTTAAACATTATATCATCCCGAAGAGTAGACTAATGTTTACTATTGATTTGAAAGAAAGGAATTATAATTTACTTTCCTAATCAGATGCAACAAAGGGAATATGAAATTCATCCAAAAGGATGAATAGTACATTCTCTTATTGTTCTAATTAGAGAAATAAATTATAAATTCATTTCCATAATCAAATATAGACTTAATGAGCTCAAAGGAAACTTCATTTAGAGAGCAATCAAGCAGACAATAGAATGCATCCATTGCAATACAAAGAAAGGTAGGGGATTAAAGGACATCCCTGACGATGACCAGTAGAAGAGGGAAAAAAGCCTTCAAGAACTCCATCCACACAAATAGAGACGTGGACATTGATAATGCAAGCCTAACCCACCCAATTAAAATTGGAGGGAATCTTTTTTTAGCCATTATCCCAAGTATGAAATCTCTTGATTCATAATCAATGGCTTGCTTGATGTCAAGATTAGCACGCATAATTTGAATCTCTTATATTTTTTTAAGAACCCTAGAATTTCAGCTTCAAGAATAACATTATCAGTATAAATCCTTTTATGAATGAAACCAACTTGAGAGGGTTTATGATGATTGGCATAATGTGTTTCATCTTGGCAGCCAAAATTTAGAAATAATCTTATAAATGGTGTTGCACAAAAAATTGGCCTAAAATTAGCTATCAAGCTAGCATGATTGTTTTTAGGAATTAAGGCAATGCCAATAGCTTTAACAAATCTAGGAATATAGCCTTTCTGAAAAAATGATTGAACAGCTCTGCAAAGATGAAGACCTATAATGTGTCACACTACAGGAAGTTCAGCTATTACCGGCGGTTAACTTGGTATTACTGGCGGTTTTAAAAAAAATGGCGGCTTTTCGGCGGTTCCCAAGCCGCCGGAAAAAAATGGAGTCGGAAACCATTGTCGGCGGTGTTTTTTCCGATGGTTAACCTGGTATTATAGGCGGTTTTAGCCGTCGGTATACCGCCGGTCATAATAAAGTCCGGCGGTTTTATGACTGCCGCTAGTTCCGGCGGCATATGCTTGAAGAACCGCCGTTATTACCGGCGGCTAGACAACCGCCGGTAACAGCTGAATTTCCTGTAGTGTCAGGTAGTCTTGTAGAAGTAGAAATTCAACCCATCTGAACCGGGAGAACTATTCTCTTTCCCGATTCTCTGTTTCTCATTCTTGCGTTCATCAAGAATTCTACATGGTATCAGAAGTTCAGCTTCGCTGATCTTGGACGACATGGACGACTCGTCTTCTTCCCCTCAGATCTCTGCTTCCACGGCCAGGACAAGCTCCGAATCTTCTGGCCTTCCCTCCTCGCTCAAATTCGTTCTGGCCAATCTCAAGAACTTCGTGCATTCCCCTCTTTCTCCGGACAACTATCCGGTATGGCGCTCTCAGATCCTTAAAATCTTGCGTGCAAACAGTTTAGAATCATTTCTTGATTCCACTGTACCTATTCCGCCCAAAAATGTTACCACCTCAGACGGTCTTACCGCTACCAATCCTTCTTATTTGAATTGGGTCTTTACTGACCAAAATCTTGCTGCTGCCATTTGTGCGACTATTTCCTCTCCGGTTCTCCCTTACATTCTTAACCTTGAAACCACCTCGTCGATTTGGAGTACACTTGAAACCCGCTTT